GGCACAGATCATCTCTGTGGAAGGACAAGAAAACGTGTGGGGACCTTTCTGAAAATCGCTCAGGCAATATCAAGTCAAAGGAAAGAGCAACAAACTGATAATGGTTGTCATTTGAAATTGCTGATGGAAACCAAGAAGTCTTCTATGTGAACAAAGACAGTAACTGACTGAATAATCCAAAATGTTTAGGGACTTACAAAAGGATTGGAGGCCTTAAAAACAAAATAGGATAAGAGTCTCTTATCTGTAAACAGGTTTGATGGGTTTCAACAATTCCTGTGTGAACTGTGTGAAAATTAAGGCAGAGGGCAATAGTGAAATTATATTTTGTAACCTATAGATACAACTCCTGCACCCATAATATAGCATTAAAAAATCTTTAAATGAAAAATAAAAATGCACCACAAAAGTATGCATGTGTAGGGCATGGCATAAAGGTGACTTGGGAGCCAAAAATGTTTGAGGTGAGGCAAGAGAGAATCACCAGCCTTGGCCACTTGCTGGGTGCTCATTTGCCTGACATTTGTTATAATCCGTATTAACACTGTATGTTGAGTTCATCTACAACTAAACAGTTTTGTGTCCTGGTAGTAACTCACATCCAGGTCACAGTTATTATAATACAGTCATGGCCGAAATTGTTGGCACCCTTGATATTTTTCCTGAAAATCAAGTATTTCACAATATTGCATTAACACATGTTTTGCTATACACATGGTATGTATTGGAACAAATATAAAACAGAGGGCAAATATGACATAATGTCACACAGGGCTGGAGAGGGCAATAGTGCAAATTATAACTGAAATTTTGCTTCCTAAACCTATAGAATTTTGGACCACTAAACAGCTCCAGGTCCTCTTTATTGCACCTTTTCCCAACAATTTTATAGCAATTAAAAAGAACTTTAAATGAAAAATATTGTCCTGCTGGAAAAGGATGCACCCAGCTCACAAAAGTATGCATTTCATGTGTAGTCAAGGCACCCAGTGGAGGCATAAAGGTGGTACTTGGGAGCCAAAAATGTTTTTACCGAGGTGAGGCTTTTGGCTTAAAGAGAATCACCAGCCTTGGCCACTTGCTGTGTGCTCTCCCTGATTTATTTTCAGCCTGACATTTGTTATAATCCGTATTAACAGTGCCACTGTATGTTGAGTGGACAAAGGCAAATTCATCTACCACTAAACAGTTTTTCTGTGTCTATTTTCTGGTAGTAACTCACATCCAGGTCACAGTTATCTATACTCCTGTCCTTATACAGTCATGGCCGGAGCTATTTCACACAAAAAAGGCATGAACACATGTTGTGCTAAACACATTATTCTTTGGATGTCTTGGAATATAGAAACAGCGGCAGAAATCAAATAGACATGGTATACATGCTTGTAGTGACTTTCATTCAACCAGGTTTGTCAGAGGGGCTAAGGTTGTTCTTGGAGTTTAGGTGCAGAACAGGGAACTCAAAAAAGCTACCAGCGGCTCCTCTGCAGGTAGGGTCTCTACACCTATGGATCCAAAAGGGTGTATACCTGTAAGAAATCAATTAATTCCCAAATCCCCCAGGCATACTCACGGCCTGATCCCAGTGGTGCACCAGGGATTAAAGCAGGAGCAATCACTTTGGAGCCTCACTACCCACTTCAGGCAATGCTGTAAGAAACAAATGCATGCACCCACTGTAAAAGGTTTTTATATAGTGCAGAGAAAGATGTAGAGGTATTGTTCCCTGAATGCAGGCTCTGTGAGAAAACTGCAGGAAAATACATCCTGGAGCCAACAATTTCGGCCACATGCTTGTAACTATTCAACCAGGTTGGGGGCTATTGTTCTTGGAACAGTTGCCCAGCGGCTGACAAAAGGGTCTCAGAAAAAGTAGTGGTGCAGACCAACTTCAGTTGTAAGAAACAAATAATGAGGTTTTTATATTAGTGCAGAGGGTATTCCACTCAGGGGCTGCCCAGCTTGCAAATAATGAGGAGGGTTCCACTCAGGCTGCTTGCAAATAACATTAAAGTATAAAGCTGGCCATAAACATATGGATGAATCTCCAGCTGAGGCTATACACGAACAATACCACATGCATTCTCTCTACCAGAGAAGTGAAGCCCTCAACACATCATAAGCTAGCTAGGAAACCACAGAAGTGAGTCTTCAGAGACAGGAACACTAGCCCAACCTGAAAGCAGAGTTTTGAGCAAAATGGACATAAATGGGTAGTCACTGATGATTGCAAAATCGTTGCAGTGATAACAACATATAATTAAATTAACTGGTAAATATCTGCATCTTGGCTGACTGGTGAAAACTTCCAAGAACTTAGGATCATGTATTGGTGGAGTGCTGGACACTAAAGTGGACGAAAAACAGAGGTTGGAATCTTGCTTGTTTTGAGGTATCTTTTTGTCAACCAGGGTATTTATAAGAATCTCTTGAGTTGTCTATAGAATACTTAAAGAGTCAAAGTGCCACTATGTTTGGACGAGTCCCGAAAAACTGTTATTTGTGAAGACACGTAAATAAAAAGCCTACGTGCTTTAGGGGCTCAAAACTTTCCTTCAATAGGGCTTGTATGCTGGCAGTGAGTTTAAGTCTGCACTGGACAGTTGTCCATCATTAATAGAATCGCACCAAGAACTGGATTGCCAAACGACAGCTGATTTTAGTTACGTCTGGATGAATAACATTCTTACTGACTTGACTAAACTTTGTGGGGCTCTCATCCTTCCAATATACGAAGTAAACCGGAACAACCTGTGCTCACATGCTGACTGGGAAGGTTTCCAAAATTTCAGTGTCCAGCCTGAATCTACCACCAACAGTTAATAATAGAAACTCTTCCAAACAAGCAGAAAAACAGCACATTTAAAGAAAACACATCCACTCTTCTGAGGACACTAAGGCCTGTTTCACACAGGCTTTGGCTTGTATAAGAACAGTGTGAACAGCAAGCTTTGACAATGCATTTGCAGAGCTTTCAGCAAGATTTGTTGAAGCTTTTAAAGTAATATTTATTTCCGGTTTGTAAATGCTGTACACAGATCCTCATGGAAGTGCTGATTGCCACTTTAAGGAAGCAACTAACAAGCTCCAGAACTTCTTGAAGCTTGTTGAAAGGCTGCTGAAGCCTGCTAGCAGCTTGCTTAAAGTGGCAATTAGCACTCCCATTAGGATCTGTGTTCAGTATTTACAAATTAGAGCTGAATGGTACTTTAAAAGGTTCAAGAAAGCCTACTGAAAGCCCTGCAAGAAAGCCTACTGAAAGCTCTATACATGCTTTCTGAAAGCTTGCTGTTCACAGCTGCTCTTACACAAGCTAAAACCTGTGTGAAACAGGCCTAAGAGAAAATGAGCAGGTACAATGTGGGGGTGGGAGATTATAGCCTTAAATGGGGCAGGCCTTCAGATTTCCATGTGCCTAGTGTCCATCTTTTCCTTAAGGTGGCAATGTAACCAAACGTTTTCTTACTAACAAGCTATGTCTCTCAATGGACAATACAGAAATAATGATTTAACTTAAAGGAGGAATAGTGCCCAATCATTGGTATCAGTGGGAGGACTAGTGCCCCATCATTGGTGTCAGTGGGAGGACTAGTGCCCCATCATTGCTGTCAGTGGGAGGACTAGTCCCCCATCATTGGTGTCAGTGGGAGGACTAGTGCCCCATCATTGGTGTCAGTGGGAGGACTAGTGCCCCATCATTGGTGTCAGTGGGAGGACTAGTCCCCCATCATTGGTGTCAGTGGGAGGACTAGTGCCCCATCACTGGTGTCAGTGGGAGAACTAGTGCCTCATTGTTGCTATCAGTAGGAGGAATAGTGCCCTATCATTGCTGTTAGTGGGAAGAATAATGGTCCACCGTTGATGTCAGTGGGCAGAACAGTGCTTCTCATCAGAGGGAAGAGTGTCCCAGGGGCCAGATAAAGACAGGCAAAGGGCCACATCTAGCCCCCGGGCCACAGTTTGGAGACCACTGGCTTAGACCCTGCTCGATGCTGTGTCCTAATACTGACCTTTTCATTACTACTATATTTTGTAATAATCAACTTATTAGGTTTTCAAGTAGCTATTAAGATCTTTTCAAGTCTCTGTTCAGTCTTATTCATGCATGACAATCCTTAAGGCTTGGTTCACGTATGTGCAGGTGGTGCCGCTGCAGATCCGCACGGAAATCTGTGCAGCCGCACCACCCGCACAGAGGAATGCGGACCCGCTGGCGGGTACCATTAGTTCTAATGGCACGCCACTCGCACTGGAAAACGCAACCAAACTGGAAACCGAGGTTCCCTTGCGGGCTGCGTTTTCAGGAGTGCAGTGACGTTTTCCCTGCGTGTCAAATGAATGGGCTCCCGTGCCCACGCAAAATGCGGCCCGCAAGGCCGCATATATGTGAACCAGGGGTTAAGAATGACTAAGTCCAAGTTCACCTTTTGAAAAAAAAAGAAATGCTCCTTTTTTTGTAATTACCTGGGAGCAGGAAGATCAATGGAATGCGAGAGCACTCACCAGCGCCCCCATAGTTCATTGAGAACTACAATCTGTAAACTGGAATGGCTGATAGTACTTGTAATCTAATCTAATTCATTCACAGAAAAATGTGAATCAATAACGCAGCCATGTAGACAGAGACCTGCACAGCTATATAGTTTACAAATTGTGACAGCAGGTACAGGGAGGTACCCACTATCATGGGAAATGGGGGTCAGGATTTTTTTTTACCCTAAAAACGTGTGAAGCATATAACAAGTTCCAAAGGTGAATTTATCCTTTAACTTAGGTACAGTAAAGCCCTCTATGAATAAACTATATAGACCAAATCAGTGTTTAAAGTGTAATTAGCCTAGCTTAAAAGTGAAAATGTGCAAGAAAATCTAATAGGAAGGTAGGATAAAAAAAAAGTTTAGTCATCACCTATACATTTAATGGTGGTTACTTTAAAAATAAATTTGAACTAAACTGAATTAGTAAACCTTCCACCTTGTACCACAAATATGAACACTCACAGGACGAGGCTTGAAAGGTGGTTGAATTTCCAGACGTTCTAAACGCTCCCAGTCTATCCAGCGGAAAAAGGCATGGTCTCGTATATCACGTTCTCCATCACAGCCAGATCCAAGGCGTTTTAGTGGATGTTTCGTAAGCAGCTGGAGAAGAATGAATAGTACAAAAGCCAGTTATACTGTTCATGCTCTAGGGAAATTACAGCAGTATTGTCACCCTGTGGTACTGGGTAGTCTTAGTTCGATATATTTTCAATGGCCTAAGTAAGTGACAAACAAATTAAAGACTTGAACATCAGCTACAGTGAGAAACAGAAGTATTTGAACACCCTGCGATTTTGCAAGTTCTCCCACTTAGAAATCATGGAGGGGTCTGAAATTCACATTGTAGGTGCATTCCCAGACAGAATTTAAAAAAACTAATCAGGAAATCACATTGTATGATTTTTAAAGAATTTATTTGTCTTGCACTGCTGAACATAAGTATTTTAACACCTCAGAAAATCAGTGTTAATATTTGGTACAGAAGCCTTTGTTTGCAATTACAGAGGTCAAACGTTTCCTGTAGTTCTTGACCAGGTTTGCACACACTGCAACAGGGATTTTGGCCCACTCCTCCACACAGATCTCCTCTAGATATGTCAGGTTTCGAGGCTGTCACTGAGCAACACGAAGTTTCAGCTCCCTCCAAAGATGTTCTATTGGATTTAGGCCTGGAGACTGGCTAGGCCACTCCAGAACCTTGATATGCTTCTTGCAGAGCCACTCCTTGGTTATCCTGGCTGTGTGCTTCAGGTCGTTGTCATGTTGGAAGACCCAGCCACGACCCATCTTCAATGCTCTGACTGAGGGAAGGAGGTTGTTGCTCAAAATCTCACAATAAATGGCCCCATTCATCCTCTCCTTAATACAGTGCAGTCGTCCTGTCCCCTTCCCAGAAAAGCACCCCCAAAACATGATGTTACCACCCCCATGCTTCACAGTAGGGATGGTGTCCTTGGGATGCAACTCATCCTTCTTTTTCCTCCAAACACGACGAGTGAAGTTTAGACCAAAAAGTTCAACTTTGGTCTCATCTGACCACATGACTTTCTCCCATGCCTCCTCTGGATCATCCAGATGGTCATTGGAAAACTTCAGACGGGCCTGGACATGTGATGACTTGAGCAGGGGAACCTTCTGTGCAATGCATGATTTGAAACCATGACGGCGTAGTGTTCTACCGACAGTGACCTTTAAAATTGTGGTCCCAGCTCTCTTCATGTTATTGACCAGCTCCTCCCTTGTAGTTCTGGGTTGATTCCTCACCTTTCTTATCATCAGTGATACCCCACGAGGTGAGATCTTGCATGGAGCCCCAGTCCAAGGGAGATTGACAGTCGTCTTTAGCCTCTTCCATTTTCTAACAATTGCTCCAACAGTTGATCTATTTTCACCAAGCTGCTTGGCAATTGCCCCGTAGCCCTTTCCAGCCTTGTGGAGGTCCACAATTTTGTCTCTGGTGTCTTTTGACAGCTCTTTGGTCTTGCCCATGGTAGTAGTTGGCATCTGACTGACTGTGGGGTGGACAGGTGTCTTTAAAGAGCTCAGACAGGTGCTACTAAGTTAGATTAATTGAAAAAGGGTGAGTGAGCGCAAATCACACGACAGCAGCTAGCACACAAGGCAATCCTCAACACCAAAAAAACAAAATATACAAATGGTATGCAGCGCTAAATAGTATATCAACCATCAATGTATAGATGGATGAGACAATAAATTAACAGTCAAAATATGAATAATTCCATGTAAATAAAGATAAAATATATAAATGTTCAAATCCAATCCGACTTGTGGATAAATCCAGTAAATGATTGCGCTTACCACAAAAACATACAAACAGAGCGTTGTATGTATAAGATGGACATCAGGGCCTGGTCAGCAACTAGAACAGCATCCGGTCACCATATGAGACTTCCAGGAATGGTGGAAACCCCCCCACGGTCATCTCCGGTTTCACCAGCAGGTCCAACGAAGTCCTCTCCACGCACTGCTCATCTGGATCACACCACCTTGGTAGCGCTCATGAATAATGAGCCAGAGCAAAATGGGCAATGATAGTGAAGTATGTTTTAATGGGTGAACAGTAAAATATATAGTAAAGAACTCACATAATCGGAAAAACACAGCCCAGGTCAAACGAAAAGGTTCCCTGGTGATCTGTGGTTCCCTGGTAATCTAATGGCGTCTGTTGGGTGGATCCCCTTTGACAACGAGCGTGGCTCGAAACATGTTAGGGGATCCACCCAACAGACGCCATTAGATTACCAGGGAACCACAGATCACCAGGGAACCTTTTCGTTTGACCTGGGCTGTGTTTTTCCGATTATGTGAGTTCTTTACTATATATTTTACTGTTCACCCATTAAAACATACTTCACTATCATTGCCCATTTTGCTCTGGCTCATTATTCATGAGCGCTACCAAGGTGGTGTGATCCAGATGAGCAGTGCGTGGAGAGGACTTCGCTGGACCTGCTGGTGAAACCGGAGATGACCGTGGGGGGGTTTCCACCATTCCTGGAAGTCTCATATGGTGACCGGATGCTGTTCTAGTTGCTGACCAGGCCCTGATGTCCATCTTATACATACAACGCTCTGTTTGTATGTTTTTGTGGTAAGCGCAATCATTTACTGGATTTATCCACAAGTCGGATTGGATTTGAACATTTATATATTTTATCTTTATTTACATGGAATTATTCATATTTTGACTGTTAATTTATTGTCTCATCCATCTATACATTGATGGTTGATATACTATTTAGCGCTGCATACCATTTGTATATTAAGTTAGATTAATGAGTGGAGTAGAGGTGGACTTTTTAAAGGCACATTAACAGGTCTTTGGGATCCAGAATTCTTGCTGTTTCTCAGGTGTTAAAATACTTATGTTCAGCAGTGCAAGACAAATATATTCTTTAAAAATCAAACAATGTGATTTCCTGAATTTTTTAAAAAAATTCTGTCTCTCAGAGTGGGAATGCACCTGCAATGTGAATTTCAGACCCCTCCATGATTTCTAAGTGGGAGAACTTGCAAAATCGCACGGTGTTCAAATACTTCTGTTCCTCTCTATAGGATGTTTTAACCACTTGACCTCTGGAAGGTATTACCCCCTTCTTGACCAGGGCATATTTTGTTTTTTAGCTCTGCACTACTTTAACTAGTAATTGCTCAGTCATGCAACACTGTACACAAACAAAATATACATAATTTTATTTTTCACAAAAATACAGCTTTCTTTTGCTGGTATTTGATCACCACTGGGTTGTTTATTTTTTATTATATAAATGGAAATAAACAAAAAATTTTGGGAAAAAAATATATTTTCTATGTTATAAAACATTTCCAATAAATTTAAAAAAATAAATAATTTCATACATTTTGGCCAAAATTTATTCCGCTACATGTCTTTGGTTAAAAAAATCACAATAGTTATACATTAATTGGTTTGTATGAAAGTTAAAGCATTCACAAACAATGGTATTGTCAGGAGTCATCACAGGGGATGACCAGATCTGTGTAGCTACACAAGGAAAACTGGGACCAAAGACCATATAAATATATCTTTAATGTAAGATTTATCTACAGTGAAAAAGATGCAAGGAGCAACAGCAGAGGTGGAACTTAAGTACCCTCCCTGCATGTGTGGCCAGGTGGAGCTGATTGCTGGAACCTGCTGGCTGCTGGGAGACACCTGCTGGTGGACACTAAAAACTACAGCTTTCTGCCCAGAAATCCACAGCACCACCAACAGGTGAACCAGGTTGTGAGAGGTATATATATTGGAATTTACGCAGCAACTATACTTGTAATGGTGGTGAGCAGTGACTTATAGTGAGACTGTTATAGCGTGGCAGACAATCTGGCCATAGCTGACGCTGGCTGGGAGGTAAACTAACTGACTGACACTGACATCAATAGTGGCACTAATACAGTGATTACATATAATGACACTGGCTGGGAAGGGGTTAACATCAAGGGGTCAACTGTGTGTCTAACAAGTATATAACTGTAAATGATAACCTAGTCAAGTGTGGTCTTTATCTGTTTAGTATTTTCTTCCACATATAAATATACAACCAATAGTAGGTCCAAGCAGTACTAATACTGCTTGGACTTTGAAGAAGGGGACATATCCCAAGAGCTTGTCCTGAAAAAATGTTAGTGCAAATAAAAAAAAGTATAACAGCCAGTTACTATCACAAGTGCACTAATACGGCTACAATCACCTCGAGGTAGATGTTTACAGAGTTAAGATAAGCAACACCTAACATACTGCAGTGTTCCATTCTAAATCCCCTGCTAAATGCTTTGAATTAATTATTTACAGCTTTAGCAAATCCCTGTTTATTAGTTATTTGATAGGTAATGGTATAATAGAATGGGTTATATAGCCATTACTGAGTTGAGATGGCAGTCCTTTTGATGTTTCTAGACCAGCAATGGGCAAACTACGGCCCGCGGGCCGTATACGGCCCGGCGGACCTTTTAATCCGGCCCGCGGAGCTAGGCTCCCGCAAGGCCAGTGGTCGGCAAGCCGCGGCTCTTTACAAATTTAGATGCGGCTCTCCTGTGTGCCGGGCGCCCGCTCCCCTCCCTCCTCTCCTCCTCTCCCCTCCCTCCTCTCCTCCTCTCCCCTCCCCTCCTCTCCTCTCGGATGGCCGCCCCCCCTCTCGGATGGCCGCCCCCCTCCCTCCTCTCGGACGTCAGGACTCTGCAGCTGTCAGGATGTAGGCGGGGCAGCGTGACGAACTCCTCTCACAGTCCTCCCTGAAGACCAGAACGGCGCGGGAATACGAGAGGAACGCGCGGACCAAAGGTAAGTGAATTGACACAGGGGGGGGACTTACTATATGGGGGATGAATTACTATATGGGGGACTTACTATATGGGGAATTAATTACTATATGGAGGACTTACTATATGGGGAATGAATTACTATATGGGGGACTTACTATATGGGGAATGAATTACTATATGGGGGACTTACTATATGGGGAATGAATTACTATATGGGGGACTTACTATATGGGGAATGAATTACTATATGGAGGACTTACTATATGGGGGATGAATTACTATATGGAGGACTTACTATATGGGGAATGAATTACTATATGGAGGACTTACTATATGGGGAATGAATTACTATATGGGGGACTTACTATATGGGGAATGAATTACTATATGGAGGACTTACTATATGGGGAATGAATTACTATATGGGGGATGAATTAATATGGGGGATGAATTACTATGTGGGGGATGAATTACTATATGGGGGATGAATTACTATGGGGGATGAATTACTATATGGGGGATGAATTACTATGGGGGATGAATTACTATAGGGGGGATGAATTACTATGGGGGACGAATTACTATATGGGGGACGAATTACTATATGGGGGACGAATTACTATATGGGGGATGAATTACTATGGGGGATGAATTACTATATGGGGGATGAATTACTATGGGGGATGAATTACTATATGGGGGATTAATTACTATATGGGGGATTAATTACTATGGGGGATTAATTACTATGCTTACTATGGGGGAATATTACTATACTTACTATGGATGACACATACACATCATTCATCTACTCTTGGTCCGGCCCCCGGGTCCAATATATGAACCCATTGCGGCCCTCAAGTCAAAAAGTTTGCCCACCCCTGTTCTAGACCCTTGTAGAAATGTTGACTCAAGTTAAAAGGCTATGGAGATGCACTCCTGGGACTGTAGCTGAAAGGGGTGTCACAGCTGCTCTGTCTCCTATTCTAATAAAATGTCATGGTAAACTTGTCAATTCTGAACAACATGGCTGCCCTTTGTCCTCTCACAAAGCTTTCTGGGGTGCCCAGTCTACATTATCACACATGGTACTAGCTACAGACAGAAGGTCTGAAAGTCAGCAAACACCCCAAAAAATATTTCATATCATCTCCTTTTTTTTAGATGTCTTCCATCCCTGATCACTCAGCATTAGGCCAATAAAGAGTGAGAGCCATGTAAAGTATATCCATGATATGCACAATGCAGAGGTTCTTAGGACAGCCTCAATTGCACTGCTGGAGAGCCACATGCATGTTCTGGGTACCTCCACGGCTCTACTGCATACATCATGTACATACAGTTCAAGACAGTATTAGTTTTGTTACCCCTTTGCATATGGAGACAGCCTCTCTGGACATAGATTTTGGATAAGATACAGTCTGCTCCATAATGGACTGGAAAAGTTCATCTTCATCTTCACCATCAAATGGAGGCTGTTGAGACACAGGGGACAGAAAGATGGATTTGTAAACATATTTTGAAAACATAACGCAAATTGCACTTGGTTGGTGATTTTTATGTACTGTGTATTTCAGTGCATAGTCAACTGCATCCCAATGCACGTCTACAGTGTGCTGTACCACATCTGCATTAGATGCATATCATCTGTGCATTGCATTGTCCTGCAGGCAGGATCTATCTTTGCTGAACTTGAAATCAGGCCCACAACAATACTAATAGGGCTTAGCAAATTTCCCTGCAATCCATGGGGTTGACAGGGGGCTTACTGATAGAACTGGTTTAGTATCTTTACTCTTTTCAGGTAATCTACAAATTTCTTCTGAGTTTCTGGTCATGGTAATAATTAAAGGTCTCTTTGTCACTGCTCCACCCAGAAGATTTTGTGTGTGCTTTAACATGATATTCAGTGTTATTAGCACAACTGGAAAAATACATAGAGGCTATGATTTAACATGTATATTCTAACCTGATAACTAGATAGAGAAGAGAATGTTCATTTGTGTATTCATTTATATCCTGACAAAGAATTTTGTGTACTAACTAAGCCTTTACTTACTGCCCTAAACTGTAAAATTCTAGAAATGATATTCAAGTCTGACCTCCTTTAAGGGCTAGTAAGCTGCTATAATACATACTTGTTCTTGGATTTAGATATTCTTTACAAACAAATGTCAGGCTAAATACACAGATGAAATACATACAAGAGAGTTGTTTCAGCTCATTTACATAGCTGTGCCACACAGAATAGCTCTGTCTAGCAGTAGAGAAGGGTTTCTCTGGTTCAGCTTTTTCCCTGATGCAGTTTCACTTTCACTTTCACTCAAAGTCCTCTTCACCACCACTCTGCGACTGGACATGGAGAGGAGAACCAGTACACAAACCAGCTCTTCTCTTGTCATTGTGCTCTCTTCTACTATGAACATGCCCCTTGCATTACAGCACACCTGAGTGAACTCTTGCTGATGCTCCCTCCCTGTAAGGAAATATGTCTTATTAACTGGCATCCATTTTGTATAAAGCCTCTAGATGTGTAAACAGTTAGTTTCGCTTGTAACTTCTCTCTCGTTTTCTGAGAATGGTTTCATTTCACTGTAAACGGAACCACCTTATATGGTATCCCTTAGTTTCTGTTCTTCACATAACTATATTGATAAGAATGGAATGTTTCATTGGTCATCCTAAGATTAAAGAATGCCTACTGAGTTCTGTATAACAGTTCTTGTCTTGCATTAAACTTTTAGAGATTTAGCTTGCACACTTTGGTGTCTGGAGCATTATTTCTCCCAGGCCTGGTGGGAAAATAATCAAGGACAATATGGGCTACAAACAGAATGATTTCCTTGCACTCTCTCAGCCTGAACCCTGGTTCACAGTATACAGCAAGAGTCTTACTTAAAGCGATAGTGAAGTTGGGCAAAAACGAAAAAAAAAACCCTTCCTCCCTGCAAGATAAAGACATAATGTGCTAGTATGCATCATATGCTAGTACATTATGAAAGAGTTATCTTAAATCAGTCTTGCCACCACTGATAGGGCTTCCGTGTTCACCCGGTCTTCCTTCTGGGTTCGAGGGCTCAGGGCGCTTGAATGGCTGAGTGCTGATGACATCCCTCCCACTCATGTGCACAGGAATCACGGTTGCTGCACACAGCTCTGAAGAGACCAGCATGAGTATGTCGTCCCTTCAGAGTGCATGTGTGGCGTTTCAAAAACAAAAATGCATGATCCCAACGCACATGTTCCTGTGTTAAAAAATGGCTGTGTGTATAAGCAGCTGCTGCAGCAGCGACCATCAGCTGAAAACAATAAGAATCAAAGGAGAAGAATGTCACCAGCACACCAAGGATCTCCAGCATGGGTCCAAGACTTTAATAAGCGATCACATAAAGTGCCTTGCAAAAGTATTCATAACCCTTGAAATTTCCACATTTAATTAAGTTACAACCAAAAATGTAAATGTATTTTATTGGGATTTTATGTTAATGTGGCACATAATTGTGATGATAAATGGTTTCCAAAATATTTTACAAATAAATATCTGAAAAGTGTGGTGAGCATTTGTATTCAGCCCCATTTACAAATGCACGCCACAATTTTCAGATATTTATTTGTAAAAAAGTTTAGAAAACCATTTATCATTTTCCTTCCACTTCACAATTATGTGCCACTTTGTGTTGGTGTATCACATAAAATCAAAATAAAATACATTTACATTTTTGGTTGTAACATGACAAAATGTGGAGAATTTCAAGGGGTATGAATACTTTTTCAAGGCAATGTAGTTACAGCAAGAGCAATGTTTTGGACTCTCGCAGGACCCCTTCATCAGCCATGTGACCCCTTCACATGCCTGATGAAGAGGTCCTGTGAGACTTTGAAACGTTGCACTTGCTGTAACTACAGTGCCTTGAAAAAGTATTCATACCCCTTGAAATTTTCCACATTTTGTCATGTTACAACCAAAAGCTTATTAATGCTTTGGACCCATACTGGAAGTCCTCCGTGTGCTGGTGACATTCTTCTCCTGTGTTGCAAAAACAGTGAATATCTCCTAAACAGTGCATGTTTAGGAGGTATTCTTTGTACCTACAGGTAAGTTTTATTATAGGCTTACCTGTTCAGTAGGTACAAGTGTCCTAGAGGTGTTTATTACTGCTTTGCGGGAAACTCGTGCCTTTTTACACTGAAATGTATTGTAATTGTACTGTCTCCCTTTATATTGTAAAGCGCTGCTGTCGGCGCTATATAAATCCTGTATAATACTAATAATATAATATATAAACTGTATTTAAAGTAAGACAATGCATGAATAATTACACAGCTACACCGATCTGTGCCTTTTTTTAATCTGTCTTGAGTTCAGCTTCAACCCCCCTATTTCAGGTGCGATTTGCAAGACATCTGACACAGATGTCTATGCAAATTGCACCAAAAGTAGTGGATGCACTACTTTAGAAATCGGTGCGGCTCTGACCAAGTCGGAACCGCACCGATATGACCACTCTAATAGCGGACAATAGGGTGTGACTTGACATACAATTTTCAAGTCGCATGGCATGAAAATTGCATGCCAAGTCGCACCCAATGTGACCGAGGTGTAAGCAGGGGCGGACTGACAACTCATGGGGCCCCTGGGCAATAGGGGATCATGGGGCCCCTGTGTCCTTGCCCAAACTCAAAAAAGCCTATGAAAAAGGTACCGGGGGCATCTCATGGGGCCCCCTACTGACCCCGGGCCCTCAGGCAGTGCCTGAGTTTCCAAATGGTCAGTCCGCCCCTGGGTGTAAGGCATGCTAAAATGGTCTATCAACTAATGTTATCATGCTCCATTTCAGCATGTCATTTGCACTTTTACAACTTGATGAAACAAAAGATTTACCTGTCCTGCAAGCATTTCATACAGTAAGACTCCATAGGACCACCAGTCAACAGATTTTCCATAAGGCTGATATGCAATAATCTGAAAGGAATAAATACGTAATAAGAAAGAAATGTCCAAATATATCAAAACAACCACATACATTAATCACTTGCCCTCCAGATGATTTACCCCCTTCCTGACCAGGCCATTGTTTGTGATACGTTGCTGCATTACTTTAATTGACAATTGCGTGGTCATGTAATGCTGCACCCAAATGAAATTTAAATCCTTTTTTTCCCACAAATAGAGCTTTCTTTTGGTTTTTATTTGGTCACCTCTGTGTTTTTTATTTTTTGCGCTATAAACAAAAAAAGGTCGACAGTTTTGAATAAAAAATTTTTTTTTACTTTTTGCTATAAAACATATACAGTAAAAAAAAATCTAATTTCGTTATAAATTTAGGCTAAAATGTATTCTGCTACATGTCTTTGCTAAAAAAAAATCCCAATACGTGTAAATTAATTGATTTACATGAAAGTTATAGCGTCTACAAATGGTGGTATATATACTGGAATTTTTTTTTTAATACCAGTAATGGCGGCAATCAGCGACTAAGATTAAATATAGCGGGACTGCGGAGGGCATTCTGACACTGGGGGGGAACTGACTAACTGCCACTGACATCCCAATAACTAATAACACACTAATACAGTGATCAGTGATAATAAAAAACACTGGCACTGTACTAATAATACTGGGCAGGAAGGGATTAAAAAACATAGTACATATGTGCAATACATGTACATTTCCTGTGTTTTATCCCTGCAAGTACATTTCTGCACCAGAAATGTATTTACTTGGTCTAGGTGGTGTCAGCCCTATCCAGATTTGTTTTGCTTAACTATTGAATCACACTCCTTCTTCCCACATCCACAACATGAGCACTAAGCTCTCATTCACACCAATGCAATCTGTTGTGTGTTTTAACTGTTCTAAATCGCATGACAAGTTGTACCCCATCGCAGCAATGGAACAATTAAAATTGGCTCGGCTCATGTCTCAGTGACTTTGAAAAAGGTTCCTGCACTACTTTTGTCTGATTTCATTGTGACTTGCATAGACTTCTGTTAAACGAAGTCGCAAGCCGCAGTGAAATCAAAGGTGCAAATCGCACTGATTTGCGGCTTTGAAGTCATGCCAAAGTAGCGGGGTTTCAAAGCCGCACTAGTGTGAACCAGGGCTAATTGTTCTGTAGTCGAAGATAAGAACTAGAATGTCTAATCAGGCTCCTTAAGATAACATGGGAATGTGAATAGGATATAGGAGAGCTTTAAATTTCTGACATAGCCAACATGTACTTTTTGCATTTATTTTACATATAACAAAATATTTAATGTGTATTTTTAACAGACCAAAAAGGAGCACATAAGATAAGTTAATTGTTAAGATCTACAAACATTTTAAGTGATTGTTGTTATTAGAGATCAAGACAAAATTCACACTACTTTTCGATGATGTCACCAGGAAATAAATAAGTTACAGCCCTGAAAATGTACCTCAGGGGCGTAGCTACAGGGGTCACAGGGGTCGCAATTGCAAACCGGGCCCATGCTGCAGTCGGCCCGTGTAGCCACCTGTATGCCTAGATTGGAGGAGCACGGGGCGACTGCATATAGAGGAACCAATCTCTCTGTGTTCCTCTTGCAGCTGCAGAATGCCTGCGGGAGAGCAGGAGAAACAGGCATTCAGTGGCTTCAGCAGGAACATAGAGATGGATTCCTCTATCTGCAGCCGCCCCCCCACTCCTCCTATCCAGCTTCTTTCGGCTGTATCTGAGCTGAGAGAGCTAGCACTGACAGTTCTCCCCTGAATAGACAGGAAAGGAGAGATTGCTGCTTTTGCTCCTCCTCCTTCTCCCACCCCTTCCTCTGCTCCTGTGTCTGCCCCACCCACACTGAGTGGGAAGGAAGTTTGAAGTCCAGGCAGAAGAGAAAAGGTGCAGCCGGCCGATTCACTGTGAGTGAAATCCCCCTCCTCCCTTTTTTCTCCTGCCTCCCAGTGAGTACTCTAATATATAAGGGACTTTGTCCTTTTCTTTTCCTTTTATTTTCCTTTTCCTTCCTTCCTTTCTTTTTAGACACCTGATATCTCACCTAAGCCCCCCTTAAGAAAATTGTAAAAAATAATATTTAAAAAAAAAGTTTAAAAACTACTGACGCCAGTGGTGGAAATACCAGGGTCACAAAGGTCACATTTGCGACAGGGCCCTGGCGTTCCGCCACTGGATTCGGAAGGGGGTCAGGGGCGCTCTTCGTGGTTTCTTGCACCAAGGTCCTGAAGGTTCTAGTTACGCCACTGATGTACCTGTTCTTTAGAGAGCTCCATCTTTTCTTGGGTGTAGGACGGGAGAAACAGCAGGACCTAAATCAATTTCTGGCTTTAAGGATCATATTTATAAAGCAGAATATTCAATGCAGGTAAATCTTCCTGGTGCATGTGTTTTAAAGCATTTGTAAAGGCTCATTGTTTAAAAAATATGGGGCACCCCTGTGGGCTTGCTCCTGAGCCAAACTGTGTGGATCTATAAACACACACAATGCGGCTTGGCCCTGCTGCCCTCTCTCTCTGCTTGCAGGATTTGATTGATAGCAGCAGGAAACCAATGGCTCCCTCTGCTGCTTCTCTGTCCTGCGAGGAGAGAGAGAGACCAGCACCACTGCAGACAGGCACACTGCTGGATCAAGATAAGACTCAAGTAAGTTTAAGGGAGGGTAAAGGATTTTCTTCTCTACCAAGTAACCATTTACCTCTTTTACCCCCAAGAAAAGTAAGCATGTCTAAGCTTCAGGTTGCTCAAGTTATGACTAAAATAAATACTGCCTGTATTGTCCCATACCAACCAATGAGCTTTGGGTCTGTCAAGTTATGTGGTTAAAACAAGAACTCCTGGCATTGTTCTATACCAACCAAGGAGAATCAGACCACTCAAACTGTGGATACAATGATAACTGCCTGCATTGCGTCTTACCAATCAACCTAATTTCAATTTTTATTCTCCCCCTGTCAAATGTCAGGGCAGGTTTAAATTAAATCGTTTGCCTATCCTATTTTCAAGGCATTTTCAGAGAAGAGGAAGTTAGCATAAAAAACAAGCACATGAATTAAACCTTTACACTGCTGACTATAAAAACAAGAAGGATTATTTGGCAATCTTGCCAGATCTCACTGAGCACCTATTTCACAACAAGGAAAGGTAGGTGTGTGTGGGATTATAAATAAAAAGCTCAAATAATTTAAGAAAGAAAATCATGATGATTTTAGGTCAATTTTCTTTTAAAACACAAACAGTAGTTATAATCGACAATTCAATACAAGCATACTTGAAAATTCTATTTTCACGTAGTGAGCACTGCCTGTCTGCTGACAATCTCTTTCCACAACTTTCTGGATTCCCTGCATGTTTTGCAGCTTCTACTCTGCTGTTTACTTTCCATTTCTAAGAACTACATATCCCATGTTATCTTGCTGCCAGAAAAATGTTGTTTCTGTACTGATTCCGCCTCCTGAAACTCCTCCTCTCAGCACCTCTGTGGTTCAGAAAGCAGGCTCTGTGAAATTTTTGACACAGCAGTACCTACTCACAGGGCATAGTGACTATGCGTCACAAAATTCAAAGTAAATATGTGGAATTCTTTACAAAGTAAGTTTACAAACTTCTAGATTGTTCAGATTAATAGGGGCAGGCTAGAAGCAATTTAATCATAAGGTAGAAATGAAAATAGGATTTTAAATTTTGACCATAGATACCCCTTAGATCTTCTAAATACAATCCATGTGCATTAAAACAAATGGTTTATAATATCAAACCATTAATTTTCTTTCAAAAGCAGCTATAACTTGAGTCAACAAGCCTGTCCACTGCCAGCATCTGCAAAGTCAGACCCTTGCTCTCTGTGGGAAATCAGTGGTCTCTCTGCAGAGGTCTAGCACATCCATTACTGTATAAGACCTAAAGCTTTGCAAATGGTGAAGCTCATGTTCCTTGCTGACTGGATAACTCTGACTTGGCAGGGAGTGTGTCAGACCACTGCTTCCATACAGGGAAGGGTTCCAGTCCACAGCATGATGGCAGGGAACAGGCTTCTCTACTCAGGTTATGTCTGCTTTAAAAGAAGAGTGTTCAACCAAGCTTTAGGTAGTACGTTTTTAATCTCATATTAACAAATAAATATTTACCACAAAGAGCATCCATGACACTTTTTAACAAAAGATTATGTTTTTTTTTTTTTAAAGAGCTTAGCAGAATCTATAAGTTTGTATTTGTCATACCTGTGTTATCCCTGTGGAAATCACTGTAGTAGGCATTGTTACTAAAGTGATTGCCACTAGCTTCCAAGTCCTGTGTCACCCGGCTGTTTACTGAACACAGGTCCCTCACTTGACATGGATGCCACTCAGTGAACACTTTACATTTGCTCAGTGAAAGCAAAATGATCTCTGATTGGACGAGGTGGATATCTGATGTCATTGCTCCACCTCCTTGTCTCACCCAATCACAGAATGCCTTGCATTCATTGAGAAAATGCTAAATATTCCCTGAATGGCAACCATGCCAAGTGAGCGAACTTCTGTTCACAATGCAGCAGGAGAGCTACTCAGCACAGGATCCAGAAAATTGTGGAAATCTTGGTAGCAGTAGTGCTTACTACAGTGATTTCCAGATTACACAGGGATGCCACAGGTATGGCACATGCATACTTACATTGGTCCAAGTGAGTTTTAAGCTTAAGATATTGAGCTCTGTAAATCACAAGCTTATTTAGCAACAAATAATAGACAGATAAACAAGTGAAAAGCAGTCTGGAGCTCTACTTACTGACTGGAAATGTAAGTATAAAATATTCATGTGCAATACTTTAAAGTTACCTTATTAGAAATAGGCAAAAAGGTTTTCAAAATGTTCATATTATACTCCTTAACATAATAAACATTAACAAAGTAAATATAAAATCATTATTTATTCTTGTTAAAATCACAGCAGATACTTAGATACTTATTTAAGTTGCAAAGAAGGTCTTGTTACAGGTGTATGTATGGTGGAGAATAGAGGCACTACCTCTGGAGCGATGTAGTCTGGAGTTCCACAGAAGGTGCGAGTAGTAGCTCCACTGAAAATGTTCTCTTTACACATTCCAAAGTCAGTGATTTTAATGTGTCCCTCAGCATCCAGCATAACATTGTCCAGCTTTAGGTCCCTGTGTACAGAAAGAACAGAGGAATGGCGTACTGCTACTCTACTAATAGAACACAGAGAATCAGTGTCATGGATCTCTAGGAAAACACATAGCACCCTGTTTATATTTACAAGAAATTGAATATATACCCATCACCATCAGAGTACAGTGAATCACTTCACTAGAAACAAAACACATACATATGAGGGTTGATTTACTAAAAGTGGAGAGTGCAAAATCTGGTGCAGTTCTGCACAGAAACCAATCAGCTTCCAGGTTTTATTGTCAAAGCCTAATTGAACAAGCTGAAGTTAGAAGCTGATTGGCTACCATGCCCAGCTGCACCAGATTTTGCACTCTCCGCTTTTAATAAATCAGCTCCATGAATTGCACTTACTATAAACTGAAAAGCAGTTTACCAAATGCTCATTTCAAATAGATTTTTGAGTTTACCTGTAATGTATGCAATCAAATTATGAACCTCTTAAAATTCAAACACAAATACTCCACATTAGGAATAAATAAGTCCATTCACTCAAGTCAAAATCTGGTGATCTGGTAAAGCGGGCAAAAAGACCACCTAACACTTTACCCCTGGTTTGTGAAGAAAGGATTCCTGCCATTTATCACATCAATAAATAGGGAAATAGTATACATCCCTATTAGATGCTGTTTTAGACTAGACTGTTGAGGGGCTCCACCACTGCTGTGCTCTATAGCAAAAATGTGCATCACAATAATGGTCCAATAAAAAGGCAGGGGGGGCAGGGGAAGGCACACAACCCAAATGACACAGGAAATATATGCATAACAGAATACATTCTTCGTACCACAAATGCTTAAAGGGGTCATAAACTCTTATGTATACTAACAGTAGTGACTAGCCTCAGGTGATACATAGAGATAAAAAAAAAATCCCCCTTCCTAAGTTATACCTGTTTATCTAGTGCCTTCTCTCCTGTACAGGCCTCTAAAGAACACATTTTATACAGCATTTCTGAGCTTCCAGAGGCAGAGGGTAGGGATCTGATGTCACACACTGTACAGCATAGGGCACAGAGCTGAATGTAATCTGAGACCTGAGTGGAGGGAGAGGTCATCCCCACACACAGTTTCTTAGGGAAACATGCACAACTGAGGCTGTCAATCATCTACTGTGTGCTGGATGAGGGCAGGGATGTCTTCCGGGATGGCTTAGTGCTGTCATAGACTCTTAAAGATTATTCAGACAGAGCAGAAATTACAAAAAACACACTTGATGCTTTGGATAGAGGAACTTACACACTATAGAAGGATATGCTTTGTTCATGTTTCATTTCAGGGGTTTACAACCACTTTAAACTGAAAAAAAAAAAAATATTACATATAGGTAGCAACCCAGTGGTACCTGTATATGCTGGAGGCACTGGATTATGCAAGACACTTTAAGTGTACCTTAAATCAGCTAATACAAGCTATCTACTCTGGGCTAATATTTATTGATAAGAATCTAGTGGCTTTGAGTCATGTTCAATAACAATATATGGAGCAAAATCAATTTAAATTAAGCTCACTGAAGCCAGAGAAGAAATAGATAGATGCTATTTAGTTGCTATGGACTACTACAATTTACTCCTTGCACTTATCAAAAATGTCTATATATGCATTGGAAAAGACAGTATCCCAATATTTTGATAGAAAATGAGAAGCTCAGATGTGGACAACCAAATGGTCAACTGAAAAAAAAAAAAAAAAAAAACAACACTCTCCGTTTGGTTTACTTTCACATTAAAATATATTACCAATTAGACTCCCCTCAAACTCGTATTAGAGATACCCAATATAGAAAAAACTATACACAGGAATGCATATAAAGCAGAAAACACAGACTAAGACTAGACATACACTTTTTAAAAATATTTAAAAGTAATATATGACCGGCATGGCGGATATTTCTCCCCAATTCCAAAATCAATTCCTTCAAAGTAATATTTTAATTTTAGCTAGATTTTAAAAGTCTAAATATCCTTATATAGGTTTTTTCATGTTGGATATCGCTAATATAAATATCAGGGCAGTCTAATTACTAATATTATATATAATATATATATTTTATACTACCACACAAATGACAGAAAAAAACATGTGCATGCTATACCTGTAGATGATTCCCTTGTTGTGGAGGAAAAAGAGACCAATGGCAATCTCAGCAGCGTAAAACCTATATAAAAAACATATGAATAGTGATAACATAAATATAATATGAATCCGATTCTAACCCCACCCCAGGTACAACAGCCTCCACCTTTATGGGAAGGCTTTCTCCAAGAAGAAAGTGTCTGTAAGAATTTGTTCTTATTCAGCCAAAAGAATATTTGTATGTTAATGTACCGATGTTGGATGAGAAGACTTGACTCACAATCCTCATTCCAGTTCATTTCAGTTCTTTGCATTTGTCTTTTTGAAGTTTGCTGTGTGCACAGGCGCACTGTCATGGTGGAACAGTTTTTGCCCCAAACCTTTGCCACAAGGTTGGAAGTGTACGACTGTCTGACATGTCTTTGTATTCTGCTGCACTCCTGAACTTAATCTGGATAGGTGTCCACATCATCTGGCCATATAGTTGTAGGTGTGATGGTCAGATGTCCACTAATTGTTTGCCATAAGATGTATTTCTTTGTGAAACTGATTCTTTAAACCTCTACAACGTCTAGCAATATCTTCTTGATGATTTGTCTATCTACCTTTGATCGTGTGATACTCAGACCATTTTATGTTACATAAAACTGCAAGAAAAGCCAAGTTGCCAGGATACTTACATGGCATGGGGCTCCTTAAACTTGCCAACCTGTTGGATGTGATACATCAGGTCCCCGCCATTCACATATTCCATAACAAAATAAAGGCGATCCTAGAGATAGAATCACAATCATTTAGTGCACAGGTGATCTAAATATAGTGGACGCAGAAGAATGCACAATGATATTCTTACAGAGAATCTTCAAGGCAATCGAAATAGTCTAGTGATAAGTCTTGGTGAATTTTATATAATATGCTAACGTGTATGGTGGTTTGACTTGTTATACTGTGCTCTCCAGTGGCCTTGCCCCCCGCCCACCCGTGTGCTTCCCCACCAGTGGCAGAACTACCAGGGTCGCACTTGTGACCGGGCCCTGGTGTTCTGCCTCTATGATGGGGGGGGGGTCCAAGCAGTGTTGTGAACAGTCTATTACTGTAGGGACAGTTTGAAAAAATGTAGGGACCAGTGGCTGCAGCTGAGCCGAGTGTCTACACTCTCACAGACACAAACTCAGCCAAGTGAGCACACTCCCCCTCCCCTCATGGACAGGAGTGGAGAGAAGAATACAACCTGCTCCTCCTCCTCCCCCGCCCCTATTCCTTCTGTGCCTGCCTGGCCCACTCTCCTATCCCAGACGTGCAGCTGTATCTGACAGAAAGGAGATGTGTGGGTGGAAAATGTAAATGATGCCGCTGCCTGAGTCATCCAATAACAATCTTTGCCCTGGAGCGAGTGAACACTGAGCACTGCAACACACTGTGATCACCAATCTGTTCCCATCTCCCTTCCTTCTCTCCCCATCTGCCTCTCTTCTCCTCTATGTTCTTCCAAGAGCTTCACAAACTTGCTCACTTCCAGGTAACACTTAGGCAGCCCATACAGTGATCACTTTTTTTCATTCAACCATTGGGTTGAACGGAAAAAAATATGATCCAATTCCCCCCATCTACACATTCAAGGTGGATGGGGGAATCCTCCCACTGAGACAGTGATGAAACTACTAGGGTCGCACTTGAGGCCAGGTCCTGGCATTCCACTACTGTGGGGATTTCCAGCCTCCTCTTGTGGTCCTGCTCCTGCTTCTAATAGCTCTGGTCCGGCGTTTCTGTCTTCAGAGGCAGTGCATTAGGACCCAGTGCTGGTTACGTTATAGTGCTAATAGGCTCATGCATGGGACGGCAAGCACTATTGTAGACAGCTGAGCCCCCCCGCCAGTCGCCTAGCAGCGTTTACGCTGCATAGCCTTCTCCTGTATTGTGTTTTCAGTTCCTGACCATCTCCTGTAGTATGTCTGCAGTCTCTGACCATCTCCTATAGTATGCCTGCAGTCTCTGAAGATCTTCTGTAGTATATCTGCAGTCTCTGACCATCTCCTATAGTATGTCTGCAGTCTCTGACCATCTCCTGTAGTATGTCTGCAGTCTCTAACATCTCCTATAGTATGTCTGCAGTCTCTGACCATCTCCTGTAGTATGTCTGCAGTGTCTGACCATCTCCTGTAGTATGGCTGCAGTCTCTGACCATCTCCTGTAGTATATCTGCAGTCTCTGACCATCTCCTGTAGTATGTCTGCAGTCTCTGACCATCTCCTGTAGTATGTCTGCAGTCTCTGACCATCTCCTGTAGTATGCCTGCAGTCTCTGACCATCTCCTGTAGTATGCCTGCAGTCTCTGACCATCTCTTGTAGTATGTCTGCAGTCTCTGACCATCTCCTGTAGTATGTCTGTAGTCTCTGACCATCTCCTGTTGTATGTCTGCGACCTCTGACCATTCATGGATTCTTGAAGAGGGGCCCTGAAGTTCCCAGTTACACCTCTGACCGTCATGTGCTTTTTCTTAGGAGAAGCTATTTACTCATGCTGAGAAGAGAAAATTAATAATGTTAACTTCCCAGGCCACATCTAATCTATGCACAAAATCCAGCTGGTCATAATCTAATTATAATATTCACTGGTCTTCATTAGTGACATATTTAACATAGGGGATTATTTACACAGGCCTGATGTTTGCTGAAATTGCTTTGAACTATAAAGAAAAGCTTTTGAGAGTTTTCCTCACTTTCTCGGGTCTGAAGCAATACCTGAGGAAGAAAGGAAAAAGAAAGGAAAACTCTTGAAAGCTTTTCTTTTAAGTTTTAGGTTAGTACAATAAAAAAGTATTATTGCATACTGCATTACTCTCGTTTTTTGTCATCTTATTTATATATACTTATTTAGTTGTTTCCAGTGGTATGATTTAGAGGTGAAAATTATTAGTGCCCCCCCCCCCAGTTATGACTGTGGTATCTTATGTGCCCCCCCATATATATTGTTCCTAGAGTCACCACTGGTGCTCTCCTTCGAAGCCAAAATATTAAGGAGCATTATAGATAAAGCATACCACAGTTTGAAATGTAGAATGAAGTTGTGTCAGGAAATGAGGCCTATCAGACAAGGCTAAGACACGTTTCTCCACCATGGTGCACTCCACATCATCATCCTGTATAATGACATCCTTCTTCAGAATTTTGATAGCATAGAGTTCATCAGATCCACGTCTCTCAGCCAACATGACCTGAAAAATTAGGAACACAAGTAGAAGATGAAGATAAATGAAAGCCCAATGGAAACCATTTATCAGGGTAATCTGGACACTGATTTGTCTGCTGATGCCTGGTAGAAAGCAAAATTAAATTAAAAAGACCTGCTAAAATAAAAGCAGTTTGGTCTCTTACGTTTTTAGTATTCATTTTAGCATTTTGTACAAATTTTAGGAGCTGCTGTAATTCGTTTTATTTCAGTAGCTTATTCTCAATTTCTTGATACTAATTTTAGGAGTTAATTAATTTTATTTCAGCAGCTTGGTCTTTCAATGTTTTAATACTTACTTTTTTAGTACTTGTTCTAGTAGCCATTTATTTCTATTATAGCCTGATTTTTCTGTATTTTTTGCACATTTTCTTATTTATGCAATTTTATACATGTTTACATTATACAGGGTGCAGCAACATAACTTCCTTTTTTGAAATGCGTGCAATTCAGGCTGTAGCGGCCATAGCGGGGCGGGAGTGGTCTCAGGCGACAGGCGTAGTTCTAAAGTTTTTGTTCTCTTCCAGGTCAGTCATCATCATGCGTTGGAACAGTGAGCAGCGTGCATTTGCCGTAGAGGCCTACTTTTCGAACAGATTTTCTGTGATCGCAACCCAACGCGCCTTCCGACATCGCTTCAATGTAGCCCCGTTGGGCCGTGTCCCGGACCGGAAATCAATTGTTACGTGGGTCACTACGTTCAGACAAACCGCGAGTACGACAAGACGAAGAGCTGGAGTCCCTCGATCCATCAGATCACCTGAGAACATCGAAGCAGTGAGAGCTTCAATCTTGCGATCCCCGCAGCGTTCTGCGCGCAAACATGCATCTGCCCTTGGACTTTCGGATCGTTCAGTGAGGCGAATTCTTCACAATGACCTTCATTACCATCCGTACAAGTTGGCGATTGTGCAGGAACTCTCCGAACGCGACTTCAATTCTCGGAGGAACGCATGTGAGGCAGTACTCGAAAATGTCCCTGAGGACGCAATTGTTTTTTACAGTGATGAAGCCCATTTTCACTTGACTGGATGCGTCAACAAACAGAACATGCGCTACTGGGCCGACACCAATCCTCGAGAATTGCATCAAAGGCCTTTGCATTCATCTAAAGTCACAGTGTGGTGTGCAATTGCCTCAGCTGGGATTATTGGTCCCTGGTTCTTTGAAGAAAATGAGGTCACAGTGACAGTGAATTCAGACCGGTATGTGAACATGTTGGAGGAATTTGTTTTTCCACGACGACTTGATGAATTGGACTTAGGGGACATTTGGTTACAACAGGACGGAGCAACGGCTCACACTTCAAGAGCATCAATGGCTGTTTTAAGGGAACACTTCCCGGAGCGCCTCATCTCAATAAGGGGTGATTTGGAGTGGCCAGCCCGCTCCCCCAATTTGGCCCCTTGCGACTTTTTTTTGTGGGGTTTTTTGAAATCCCGCGTTTATGTAAACCGTCCAAGGACCCTACAAGACCTGAAGGCCATCATCCGCGCAGAAATTGCCAACATACCCACTGCTATGCTGGTAAGGGTCATGAAAAACGCCAGAAATCGGCTTATTCAGTGTATGGACAATGGGGGGCGTCACCTACCTGATATGATTTTCAAAACTGTGTAAAACAGAACTTTAGATATGTACCTACATTATTAAAAACAATAAAAACAATTCTGATTCATAAAATGGGTTTTATTGCGTTTTGAAAAAAGGAAGTTATGTTGCCGCACCCTGTATATCCACTTCCCTTATTGCATGTTTTACTGTGTATATCATTTGTACCTTTCAATATTCTCTAATTCAGTTGAGAAAAATGTAGTTCATCTGGCAAGTTTGTTGTTATTATGTGATGCACCAGATTTTGTGGTATATACTCATATGCAGATATAGACAGCATTATTATGCTTACTCTTGTAGCCCTAATGAAGGGGGAGTGGTGTTGCCTCCAAAATGTATTGCCTGTTTTTATATGGCTTTGTTGCCAACGGTTACAATTATTGTGGACTTTTTTAAATCTGGTTTTGGTCTGGAGCTCTTCTTTGCATTTCTATGGTCTGAGCTACTGTTGGGTGCCCATTGAGGAAAGCCTTGTTGTGTGGGAGCTGTCTCACCAGAACTAATCGGCTTATTTGAAATTTTCCATAATCTGATTACATTTGCAAGTCTAAACGTTCCCAGCGTCCTTTAAGTATGTTGTTCTTCAGTTCTATTTGAGTCACTGGCTAGAAACATGTGAAAAAGTCAGAAATCTTGCTCTTAGAAATATGCATGATGAAAAAATTAGTTTCATTTCGGATTCATTTGTTAAGTTAGTCATTTCATTTTGTCATATTTGTTGTTAGAATGATTTATTTTCAGAATTCATTTCATATATTTGAATTTGTTTTTTATATTCGTTGTTCAAAATTGATTCATATTTTCGGAAGTTATTTCGGAAGATTCTGATTCATTCATTAGTTTGTCATGTTATTTCGGCCACTTGCTTTTGACTTCGATGCAACTTGCTTGTGACTTAGATACAACTTACTTGCAACTTTGATATTTTGCTACTTTGGCTTTGGCCAATCATAACAATATAGAGTGTGACACATTGTAGAATGTATAAAACCCTCTGAAGTCACAAACAAATGAATACGAATAAAATTGTTGTTTTTGTTATAATTTATTACGGACTCGTTGAAATTCATTACTATTGTGATTTGGGGATGCGGATACATCTGAATCTCCGAACAACAAACATTTAATCTGAATTTCAATTCGTAATGAAAAGAATTGCATAGATCTACTCGCTCTGTATACTTGCTCTACATCAGTGACTCAGAAAGTATTGAACCCGTTAAACTGTCACAATAACCAGTCAACTAGGATTCTCTAATGTATAGTTCACCAAAAAAAGAGAAAGAAAAAAAATACTTCCAAATAGTTCCCAATTATTTGTTATGAAAAAATAATTAAAGTGCAGTAAAAACATAACTAAACACCTTGTTTCAATGGCTGGTTGTACAATTTAAAGCTGCAGTTGCTGCAACTAATTCTTATTTGTAGCTGATGATCGGGGTCTTACACAGCTGTGGGTGAATTCTGGCCATTTTCACTACACAGAACTACTTTAAGGGCCTGTATCAGTGGATTCTTGTTCACTTAACAACTGCCTCTCCTCTCATACAAGTCTATGGACTTGTGCAAAAGCAGCTGAAGCAGGTCATCAGCCCCTATAATGAATTCTGAGTAACATCAGAAGCATCTCAAACTGATCTTAACTGAACAGTTCATTTACTTATCAACATAAGCCCTTATTTCAGCTACATTTGTTTTTCAAGCATCAACATCTCTTTTTGTAGTTCTCCCAACGATAATCAGAATAATGTCAGATTATGCCTCAAATACTGGTTTTGTTTAGATTGATCCATTCTTGCTAGGGCAATAACATTTTCATATTAATCATTGTGTATTTATTTTCCTCTCATGACAACAAATTTACACAAAAGAAAAACTGGGCTAATTTCACTTTTTGTTCATACCCATTAATAGACCAAGAGCTCACAAAATCTTCTGAGCTATTTAACTGTAGGAAAACTTTAAAACTAGAGAATACTGGAAACAAGACAAACATGTATAATCTTTAGTTTTTTCAAAGCACTAAAATCTTATGGTTCTACATAACAGATGGGAATCCACAGTAATGGGCCTCTAGGTTACTGAGAATGGTCTGTTTTCAATGCTGCAAGAGGAGCTTAGGGATTTACTCCAAAGTCCTGAGAAGAGGTTTTGGCTAAGGCAATGCAAAGATTTAAAAGGAAAGAAATCAGCACAGCGCATTGCTTTAAAAGGAAAGTTAAAATATTATCTGTCAAACTGGCAATAATGTCTTCCAGTTTCTACTCACACTTCTAACAACAGATAAAAATTGCCAAAAACAACTTTGATTTAAAACCTATTTTTTTGAAGCTTCTATTGTTTTCTGGGTAAGTTACATAGGCTAACTACCTGACACAATGATACTGAACATCCCCCTCTAGTACCCATAATTATAAAGTATCTTTAGAACCCTGTAATTTTATACAATAACTTAACATGTTTCCTTTTCATTTCCTCTCTTTCCTCCCCTGTAATATTTCAGTTTCTCTCTGAATCTCACACCATACCATTTGCATAATAAATTAGTTGCTTTTTTTCTCTTGGTCATATTCTTAACAGTAAAGCATGTAGAGAGTAGATTCCTTTTGTGGCAAAAAATGCAGTCATTACTTAGGACTCAATTTTGGTGAAACATAAGACATTTATATTTTCATGTTTATACCTATCAAAGCTGTAGAACTATTTAAATTTGACTAATCACTTTAGTATAATAAAATAAAAGTTGAATTATGTGATGTATTTTGGGAGTTCCCCTGTAACATAATTTTTATACCAGTTAATCCTGCCAGTAGGTCAGTTATTTTTCCACTTTCTGAAATAGGGTGACAACACTGTTTGTTGTGCAAAGAAATTGCACAGCAGTGTTATCACCCTGTGGTCAGATTAGTCCTAGATGCAAATTTAGTTTTAAATGGGCTAGGTAAGAAACAGACAATTTAAAGTCGAATTTCAGCTAACACTGTTGAAACCGTTATAGTAACAAGTTTCATTTTCTTTCTTTTGACTGAATCCTCGTCATTCCTCTCCCTGCATAGTTGTTTAATTGGTGGAACAGTGTCCTGTGGACTCTTTACAGTTCATCCTCTGGCTCTATACCCCTAAAACTGAATTGCTAGCACAGTAAGGCGATAGTCCAAACTACTCTTCTCATCATAAAGTCTAAGTGTACTGATGCAGAACAGGCAAACTATCTCTTTTGCCTTGTGTGGCTATACATTGATCTTGTTAGCATGGTACTAAGGCTAGCTATTTGACTTAAGGAAGAAGGGGCTGCAAGATACAGATGGCTTAGGGGGCAGAAAGTATAAATTTGGCCCCAAATAGGGTATTAAGTAATCTATAGCATTAGCTATGGGCCAAAGAGAAAGCTACAATCTGTTTTGACTACTAAGTAAATTAGGGGGTATGAATCCTTTGCTGAAGTGTACTAGTAACCACATTTTCATTTTAAAAGCTATGTAGTGAATGCTACTGATATAACTTCAGTTCAAAAGTGAAACATTTTTAGCATACTGTGTCTATATTTTAATCAACAATATTATATTTTCCTTAAAAATGTAGAAGCTTGCCTATCAATTCTAGTAGAAGAAAGTGTACTACTGCCAGATGAGTGACATGGAAGCTATCTTAGAGTTCAGTGCTGTGCTATAAAATTATAATATAAACAAAAACATTCAAAAGTCCAAATCCTTAAATACACGTTTCCAAGAGAACTAAATCTACAATGCAGTAACCAGTTGGTGTGAACCACCACCAAATAGAAGACTTTAATCTGCTTACCAGAGCAATATAACTCCCTATAATTAAAGAGTCAAATAGTGCATTAGAGTTATATAGGATTCCAAGATGCCAGCCTCTTCAGATCTCACTCTGTCAAGGAATTCCTGCAGTTAGAGGTATGCCAACACAGTCCCCACCTCACAATCAGGGATCCATGTGTTCAGATAATGCCAGCAAAAAGAGAATCACAAGCTCAACAAAGTGTGAAAACTACTAACTGCTACAAAAACCCCAAGATGAGTGTCTCTAACAGTGAAAATCAATCTTTAATATGACCATGCTTAGTGAGGACCACCACTGCAAAGATGACACAAATCTGCTTACCAGAATAATACGACTCCTTGAAAGTAAAGAGTCAGAAAGCTCACTGTGAACATAAATACATCCACATTCCTGGCCTCCATGTTTCTCTTTCTATAGAGGTGTTTTGGGGAGATGTTGTCACGGCTCTCAGCTCCCAGTCAGGAATCTATGTGTGCAGGTAGATACCAATATGGGAGAAATCATAAGCTCCCCATAGTGTAAAAACTAACTGGCTTTTAATATAAAATTTAAAAATGCACTTACAAGCAAGTTAAAAGAAACAGCTTTGAGATGGTAAACCCCTAACAGGAGAGATTCCTTGACAGAGTGAGATCTGAAGAGGATGGAATCTTGGAATCGTATATAACTCTAATTTTCTATTTCACTTTTTAATTTTAGGGAGCATATTTTTCTGGTAAGCAGCTTAAAGGATAAGTTCATCTTTGGGAACATGTTACATGTTCCACCCGTTCTTATCCTTTAAAGTCTTCTAGGTGGTGGTGGTTCACACAAACTGGTTATTGCACCAGACTGAGTTCTTCCCTTGGAAACACTTATTTATCGATTTAGACTTTTGGAAGCTTTTTTTTGTTTATAATATCATTTTGAAGTGCAGCACTGAACTCTTGGATACTGTTTTTTGTGATAAATATCTCATAGCAAGCTAGCAGCTTAGGAATTTTGTGCTTCTCACTAGCGCAATTACATTTTTGGCACTAATGAAAGCTATCTTGTTTGATGTCAATAATACACATAGAGCCTGAACTCTGAAGAATATACTGAGAAGGGTAAAGTCTATGCTCATGTACAAGCAGGGCACATCACAAACTGTTATTTCCACTGAAATAAGCATTATATATGTCACATGGTTTTGTCATTCTTATTTGGGTACACATGTATATTCATTTTTTATTTCTAGGAAAGATGATAAATTGGAGTAAAGAAAAAACATGTTATCTAGAGATGCAACCTATTTCATTGCTATCTACAAACAGCCTTAAAATGGCCAATGCAACTGTTTTGATTGGTATAAATAAAATAACTGACAGCCAGCAGCAAATAGAACTTCTACTCACCTTTCCAAAACTTCCTTTGCCAAGTACCATGAGAAAATTGAAATCAGAGATGTGGAAGCGACTTGTTCCAAAAAAGCTCACACGCTTAGAGTCTGTGGGGCTTGGACTAGGGGCTGGGCCTCTTCTAACTTTCTGCATGAAAACAACAAAGTGCAGAGATAACAATGATTCATCTTTGGAAGAAATTAAATGTTCTGAGCTTAAAGGGAAATTTTATATATATATTGTATATACTGTATATACCGCATACATATATAAACACACACTGCATATATTGTATTTTTCTAGAATTTGCAAAATCACTATACCACGGCAAAAAAAACAATAGTCAAATTTCTCAGAAAGTGTTATCTTGTGACAATGGTAGTACCCTTTACTTAGGGTCCAAGGCAGGCAGATGTACTGTACGTGTTGTGCCTGCTGTTGATCTATCCACAATCTAACTATACTACATGTTTTAAGTTAGGAACAGATTGATGGATGGATCATATCTAAAACCAAGCTGTCTTTGTAATGTCTTGGACCATAAGTAAAGCAGTACTGCTATAGTGGCCACCCCAGTGGCCAAGTGGGCTCCACTCCATTCCACTTGAATGGGTAATCTTGCTTTGTATTTGTGTTTATCTTCAAAACTCAAAATTTCCTCATTTAGCTTATGGTACTGCTACATAATTTGTTAGGCAAGAGCTAAGGTTGCTCTTGTTCTTGACATCAACAGAATATTTTGTTCCCTTTAAGCTCATTTCACCTGGACCATGTGAACAAAGAATAGACATTTTGAACATGACAACATTTATGACAGACAGTGATGCTAGCATGTTGTTATGTTTGAGTCCTAGAAATCTTACCCATTATAAGCAGAGCACCATCACACCGTTCCAAAACTGCAGTGGTTCTTTTCTACAAAATCTTTTATCCAGAGATATATTAATATTATACAGTTTTGTTGGGTACCATATATTTTACTTTCACAGTCACCTTTAGAAGAAATCATGAGATTCATATACCAAATTTTACACAATCATTTTTTTGAAATTGTATTACTAGAAAGAGTCAAACTTACTTATTTGTGAAGAAAGCTCTTCCATGGACAAATGCCGCCCACCATCAACAATCATACCATGCTTCCAGTCTCATACCTACCTTTCAATATAGGGCTTCTGCTGACCTTCAGAAGTCATACAGCTCCCTTCTCTGTGATCCCCTGTTTCGTCATCAATTAATAATTCCTGTTTTTTTAACAAGGTAATCAAGTACCGAAGTGGATTTATCCAACCACAAACACCATCGTCTTGTTCCATTAGTTGCACCTCTAGAGTCACCATACATAGTTATGCTGTCATTAGCTCTCAGCAGATATGTCTCTAAATGCAAATACATTTGTTAAATTGATTTGCAGGTCCATAATGTCATTGTTTAACCCCCGGTACTCACAAACTTCTATCTTCCAGACTTAGATTGTAAGATTATCATAAATAACCTGTGTTCTGTTACCAGGCTTCGTGGAAAATCTGAACTGAATGGAGCAGAGGAGACAGTGGTCCAGTGGTTTAAGATATTATCTTAATTAAAAACCTCACAGAGAACCCGATCATTGTACAGTATATGTACACAAAAAAAATGAAATCTAGAGCACTCACACAATGTTGCAAGAAGACATTTTGACCAAGTGCCTGGGTGCTTAGGTAGGCTTGTTTATTAAGGTTTTAGCTATTTTCTTTTCCAACACCTGCCAAATATTTACATTCTGACTGCATAAAATACACTGCAGCTTTTCATTTTGGCAGTCTTGTGTGCATGAAGCCTTACAGGCAGGGCTGGTGCTTCCGCTAGGCAAACTAGGGCATCCTGGCACCTAGGGGTGCCTGGGCGCAGCACAGGGTGGCACTCTCTCTGTGTGCGACGCCGCCATGTCATAACTGAATATTCAGCTGAAGGGAGGGACTTCAGAAGGGAGGAAGAAAGGACAGAGGTGTCTGGGGCCAGTGTAGCAGCTGAGCTGTCGCTACTTCCAGTGTTTCTCTTAGACTCAGTCCCTTACTGCAAGCCGACTGGTGACTGCTGATCACTGTGGAGTTCCAGCCCTTCTCTTCCCATTCATCAGCGGAGGTCTAGCTGTGCCTATGGAGGAAGGTAATGTCTGACTCTGAGGTTTTGTGTCTGTGTGAGTGTGTCCCAAACATCCATCACATGTGTAATGTGTTGGTGAGTGATGACATCATCACAATCCCACAGCCTGCTCTTCCATTGCCTGCTGGACCTGCTGATCTGTGTCATTGTTGGTGGTGGTGTGTTATGTTGGATCTGTCACTGTGTGGGATCGCTCAGTTCAGCTGCCTGCTGTCACAGCCTTTTATCTCCCCCCCATTGCCTGGGGAGTTCCAGCCTGTGGATCCATCATCCTCCAGTCACTGCAATTGTCACCCTGCTACTGCCAGGCACAGATACAGTCTGTCCATGACACTGATTTGTCTTTAACATTGATGCTGGTGGCATCTTATGGCACTTATTTTTGCAAATTAAAAGAAATTTAGCAGTTTCGTGATTGGCTGATTTAATATTTTACTGTTTTTAAAAAAATATATTTTTTGGGGGGGGGGGGGGGTACGCAAGTAGCTGGTCTTGCCTAGGGCACAAAATAGTTTAGCACCGGCCCTTTTTACAGGGAGAGAAAAAAATAAATTGATCGCTTGTTTTGTCCACGGTTGTCTGCCTTGCCACAACTGTTGTTCTTTTGGAAAGAATTTTAAAGGCCTGATTTGAGGGAACCAGAGACACTAAAATAATACAGAAGAACGAAAAAAACTTAGCAAGTCAAAAAGGCACACTGGGGATTATGTAGTGAAGCTACATGGTAAAACTATTAAAACTATTGTAGATTAACATGCAGTTTCTAGCTTTCTGATAGATCCCTATGTGAAAAAATATTAATAGGACAAGCAGAGTTGCATTTGCCATGAGGCATTTGTGGACACTTGTCTAGTCAGGAATACCAACCAACCAGAAACCTATAGACTGTTCATAAACAATGCACATGTTTGAAGCTCTCTGCAATGAACAAGTTTATTTTCAATAAAATCCACATTAGTCCACACTCCCTAGCCCCCTAATTTAAACTAACAAAGAAACACCCTAACAGCTTTTTTATTTATCTCAGCATAGGGCATAGAAATCTTTAGCACTAACCACACCTATGCAGTGAGCCCCCATAGACTAGAATAGGACCATATTCCAAGTGAAGGAATCACTCCAACGTAGTATACAGGATGCTGCGGATGAGTCCTGGACACATGCTATGTGTTACCTGTATTTGGGTTATGGTCCCTTTAAGAGAAATGGTTGGTGTACTCAAGGGTCTCATCCATGCAGAGTGAGAGGTTTCAGGACAGTCAAGTATAAAGGAGAGGACTGATTTGCAGTTCTCTCTGCGTTGATAGTTGCCTATTCGGGACTGTGTTGATAATTGCCTATTCGGGACTGTGTTGATAATTGCCTATTCGGGACTGTGTTGATAATTGCCTATTCAGGACTGTGTTGATAATTGCCTATTCAGGACTGTGTTGATAATTGCCTATTTGGAATTTTGGAGGTTCAGAGTGATATTTGGGTAAGAAAGAACCTCCACCGCTGATTACGAGGGGGTTAGGCAGCTTCCAGGAAGCAGCACTTAAGACAGGATGCTCCTAGTGCTGGGTGTAGAGTAGTAGGAGTTTGGGAGAGAACACCTGTCCAAGTGCAGCATGCATGCTGGAACCTGCATACAACTAAAGCTGGACTTTTCTAACTTTGGGGTAAATCCTTTACATGAACTTTGCATGTCTTATATTTCATTTGTGCTCAAGAAAAGTGGACTTTCTGTGTTGTGTTGATGATATCAAGTCAGTCTTGTTTGCTGATGGAAGCTCTGTTTTTATTTGCTTTAAAGAAAAAAATAAATACAACAGCTTCTACATAGTTTAACACAATCGGCTTTGCACATGATCTCAAGATTCTATACCCCTGAACTTTACAGTAGGGATCCCTACATAGGCACAGCTAGCAATGAAGAAGATTTTGGCCTGGATGTACAGACATAGGTAGAGAAAACAAAAAATTGTCAAAGTAAAAACTTTTAGTGGCTAAAAATATTACAAAGTATTCTGACATATAAAGCCCCTTCTTCTGGTATTATGAAAGACAAATTATAAGTACCTGAAATAAATAATATATTATGAGGCACTGACTGGCAGGATTGTTAACAGTGTGTGTCACCTAGATTTCTCACCTACATATGGTGAGGGGGCTCCAGGATTTGTTGCTGATGTGGAGAAAACAGACTTTTTGTTTTTTCAGAGTCTTAAAAAGTCCTGTTTTAGGTCTTGGAGCCTGGAGACTTTACAGAGCTTTGGGCAGGTTAAAGCTTTCACTCCTAGGTCTACCTTTATATGTGAGAAGAATGATGCTCCGGACACTCTCAATCACTTTCGCTGCTGTGTAACAAGCTGACTGCTGAAAAACACTCAAAAAAGTACAAGAATTGCTTGTTTGTTTTGGGGACCCTGTTAGGGAACACCCTGATTTACAGAGGTTGTGTTTTATGCTAAGGGATAGCCGTACAGAACCCCAAGAGTGTAAATGAGCTGGTGTCCTTTATGGAGCTACATACTGAAACCAAGGACTATCTCTGGGGTCTGTCCTCCAGGCTGATAATTCCTGCAAACAGGAAAACAACAATTTTGGGTAAGACTGTACCTGTTTATAAAAGGGATAAACAGGCTTAAAAGGAGAAAAGTGAGATACCCATGGGTGCCAAATATGAGCAACTTACTAGCCCCCAAGGAATCTCTTCCATGGAAAGAGATACAGCATATAAGCAGTCATTGTGTCATTGAAAGACTGGGATATTGACTGCCAGATGCATTAGCTCGATATACAGAAGTACTGTCCACAGAAATGTGCCAGTGGTTTAGTCTTGTGCACAGTTTCAACAGAATCTCAATTGTTGCCACCTACAATCCCCAGCTAAATACCATAAGTAAAATATCAAAAGA